CACTCTACATTGCCCATGTTGGCTTTAAGTGTTGCTGCTAAATGCATTAGTGAAATGCACTGACTTCACTGCCTCCGGTAGTGGAAACCTGTCCTGTCTTAATTTCCAGGCGTCTATGAATGACCACTTCTTTTTCTGTGATTTGAAGCCAGAAACAGATGGTACAAAGCATGACTGCTGGTGGGTTTTTACTCTTTACATCTCCTGTAAAATAATCTCCTTTTTACAGCAGTAAGTTTAAACCTGATTGGTTGAATGTATTGTTATATTTAATTTCTTCCACCAAAAAAGTAGATCCAGCAGCTTAGAGTAAAGCAACTATTGTTGGTGCTACTTTTTTGGCAGAAGACATTGCCAATATTTAAAAAATAATTTAAACAATATTTAGGATTTACTTTGCAAAACTTTTCAAACTCCTGAAACTGATAATCTGCATGATGGCGAAGACTGTGCTTCAACGTCTTGTACTTGTCAGTACATGAAATGATTTGTCACTTGTATTGCCTTTTGTGAGAATTTGAATATGCACCAGTCAAGTTTTATAATAGCCTTTGTGCAATAATTGTTATCTGTTACATTGTGACAAAAAAACTGCATTTCATCCTTTTTATACAGGCTTATTTGTACAAGGTATTTTAAAATGTGGAGATTTTTGAAGGGCCGAGTAGGCCTGTGAGAAAGTAGTATTGTGTATGGTTGCTGAAAGTTGGACAATGAGTTTGTTTGAACACAATGTTAACATGACCAAGTGTGTGTTGTAGGCGGGCCACTGAACAGAAACACACACTGGCAGTTCCTGTTTATGCCATCACCTCCATTCCTGTCACACCCATCACACTCATAGGATTGGCCAGTGTTTTCTTTTCACAGTGGGAGGTGTTTAAGAGGATTTTGAATATATGAAGGAATTGTTGGCAGAGATGTGTGTGCATGTATGTTTAGCACATTGCAGGAATCAAATGTCCCCATATTAATGAAAAATGTGAGTATAGAGGAATGAGGAGCAATGCTTAATTACAACTGGGCTGCACAATATAATATATTCTTATCGCAATATTGGCTTTTACAGTACCGATTTGTCACAGAAAGACTAAAGCGGGCAACATTGTGAATCTTGCAGTGATCTTTATGTGCCACATTCATTTTATGAGCATTTTATGTGCAATCTACACACACAATTGAGTTTCCTGGAGATTGTGGCGGTCATCAAGAGCCCATATAGTTCAGGGGATAACTCCACCGCCCTGCACAGAGGAGAGCAGGGTTCCATTACCCGTTCAGACAGAAATACAGTCACTTCTATCCTTGCGTTTGTTTTCCATATTCAGATATGCAGATTCCAATAATTTAGAACCTAAAAGCCCTTTTCACCACCTCAAACAGCTGCTCCAGAGAAATATGATTGTATACTGTTGATACTTGTGTTCATTTGGTAAACAAAAACTCAATTATTTCTAAATGGATTTTTGCTATATTTTAGTTCTTACTGCAGTACACATTTTAAATCTGCTTGGCAACAGTTTGTTTACTTCCAAGTAGCACTGCATTTACTAAAGACTATTCATAACTATCTAAGTTATGATAAACAAGGACACACACTGTCACTGGTCCTGGGCACCAAAAGCTATTTGGATACTGTAAATTTTAACCCTGTTGCCCAGCTCTGCCTCTAACTAATCACAGTTTTTTTTTACTGTGTGCTGTGATTATTTTGACCAATCACAGCTTGAGTTTCAGGGGGTGTTTTGATGAGTCAAGTAAGTGCATGTAATCCAACAAAAATAAATTACTTTGGTTAAAAATAATACAAGCCTATCTTTAACTACATCACACCAAGGGTTCACTAATGTGTTTTCAGTATATTGGAAGGCATATCAAAATATGCAGCAATATAATTGGAGTTTGCAGTTCTAGTGAGTACATTGGACTGGTGCCTTAATTCCCTCTCAGTGATGTACAATGGTTACTTGGCCAATGTAGTCTACTTGACTGATGTATGTATATGTATATATACTGTCTCTGGTTTGTCTTTCAAATCAACTCAATTGTATTGTTTTTGTTTTTACGTCCACTACGTGTGTGTGTGTGTGTGTGTGTGTGTGTGTGTGTGTGTGTGTGTGTGTTTGTGTGTGTGTGAAGGCTTTGGGGTCTATGCATCCATGCATGCGTGTGTGCGATTCTAGTGATGTTTTGTTATGCGGATCCTCTGCTTTTTTAAGAAGTAATCCTCACTAGTCAGTGAAAGAAATACGATCAGTATCTGTGTTCAGCTCTGATGCTTGGAGTTAAACTACTTCGGCTCAATCCTGCAGAAGCTCTGAAACACAAGCCTTTTTGTGAATTTATAACGGTTAACCATCAATCAGTACCAAACCATTATACAGGACCATTGATTTGAAAGATATTTGGGTTATAAAATGACTGGCTAAGCTTTTGATTCTGGCTTGTGCTCTTAAAGACTGTATTTGGTTATGATAGCTCTGCTGAATCTCCTTCAGGGTTCTGGAAAACCCATTTCAGTCTGGCAGCGCGGAGCAGCCGAATGAACGAAGCCCGTCTGAGGACGGATTGACGTCACGTTCTCGGGTCTTTTGAGCAGACGTAAATATTTTGAATGCCACAGAGGATTTGTTTGACAAGCACCGGTTGGATGACTCAGTAGCTGTCCGTTATGTGAGTGGCGTGTCAGGTAGAAGTGTGTGAAGTGTAAAGTGGATAATCTCCAGGGTGTTTGTTACTCCATCCCTTCTCTGTGGTGTGTGTTGTCCCTGGACCATGAGTCATTCTATAATTGAGGGTATGTTTCATATCAGTGATGTTTGATCATCAGTATGTATTTTTAACTCTTATATTCTTTCTAGGGATGTGAATTTAGGCAAATTCTTTTGACCGATAACTGACCGTTATTAGTTGGTGATTGATCATTAACTGACAAATCTGTACCAACAGATACGACCCATGAAAGCATCAAACAAAGCAACATTTTGTATAAACCAGGACTTAGGCTTCATTAAATGAAAAACACAGTCTAATAAAACAGATATAAGTAATGCATAACGTATAACTACTTACTTACGTTTACCACAAATTAGTAATTAGTAAAAAGTTTAATTAGTAAAAAGTTTATTATTAGTAAAAAGTTTATTTATTTATTTTTAACTTTATTTTTGATAGCAGGTTTCAAAACCTCTTTTTGATTTTGTTGGGTTGAGTCTGTATTTATCGAACCCAGTTTGTCTTTTTTAAGCATTGACTCCAAACATCTTGTGAATTGTACATATGTACCTTTACCCAGAGAAAGTGAGTGTAATGTTCCTTCTGAATCTCATTTAGGGTACACAGTTGGAACTTAGGAGATCTTTGAAGGTACATTTACATTGTTTGTACCTGTACAGTACCTTTTTTCGGTGTATCATATTAGTGCATTCATACCAGTGTACCATCACTGCTGTGCTTAGAATGATCCACCACCCAAATAATCTAGTCGGCAGCAGTCCTACGGCAGTCTCTTTCATTTGATAGATGGAGTATAAAGGGGCTGATCAAGTGTACAGCAACAGATGGGCTTCAGTCAGTAACTGTACAGCTACAAAGTGCACCTATTCCTGTAGGTGAATCTGATATACTGGTCAGTTTGTGTAGGTACAAGGTGAGCGTAGCTGAAAAACTGGCAATTCAGTAAGTATTTATTGTGAAACAACTCATTATGGGTGTGTCTGAAAAATCATTGTCACACTAAATTTGCCTTTTTAATCTGAATGCTGAACCGAGCGTGAGTCCCCTGCCCTGATTCTTGGGGTCAGTTGTGGTCGTGGTGATTTAGCTCTGGCCGGCTGTTAATCCTCTTAGGTCTCCCCCGAGGTGCTTCACCCACTCGTCGTCTTCAGTTGGATTTGAGAAACACTCTGCCTTTGTCTGTTCTACTCCATCCGTCAATGTCATCAGCCTGGAGCTTGTCAGATGCTTTGAGGTGGGCGTGGTGTCCAGCTGGTTTTGCTGACCTCTGTCCCCTTCTTCTAATATATTGCAAAATACTGTCAGTCTTGGCCTTGTCACATTAATCTTTAATCTTTTACATTGTTAATTCAATCATATGACAAAGCGTATTAGAACCTAAATATGTAGCGATATAATCACAGTCCTAGTATTTTGTCCATATTGTACAGGCCTAATTTACAAAGTGCAGCATATCATATTGTATTGTTCAGTATGAGCCTTTCAATTCAATACACCCAGGTGTCAAACAATACTAGACTGAAGCAAACTAAGCATTCAGTTGAATACTGACAAGCTCGCAATGAGGTCAGAACCCTTTTCTCTGAAAATCTCACCTCCTTTTTACCTCAAAATCAAGAGCAGGAAGGAAAAGCACCCCCCTCGCAAGCATGTATTAGCTTGTGGTTAACAAATTAGGCAGTGCATTATTATACAATATTGTATTTTATGACATTGAATGCCCTAATAAGCTGAAAACGAACAAATTAACATATTAACATAAGGCAGATTTTTAGGCCCCTGTTTTTGCTGTATCAAAAAATGTATCGAATCCACACAATACAGTGGTGGATAGTTAGTTAACTAGTTAGCTAGCTATCTGCATGGTCTTCACATGCTTTAACAAGCTCAACATCAAACTATTTGAATAAAACCTGATCACTAAAATGAATGAGTTGTTCAGGAAAATGCCATTGCAGTCAGTACCAATATCTGCATTCAAAACTTTTTACTCAAGATTTTTTGTGAAGAAATTTCAGCTGTTCAACTTCTATAGACTGTATTATATTATACATTAGTTATCTATCTGTTTGTCCACCTGTACAGTCTGTCTGTCCCCAACATAAGGCTTAAATGAGTGTCTTGAGATTAACACACATCTCCCCAGCTGCACCTCCACTGTCTTATCCCATAAAGCACTTCAAGACAGGACAGTGAGACCCCGCGACTCTGCTAATTGGAATCTGACGCTAAACTCACTCACCCCTCCTTCTCTCTTCTTTCAGAACACAGTGTGTTTTTGTGTGGACACTGTCTAACACTGCTTAAAGTGAGCGCTGGTGTCCAGTTGCCCCGGGTGATGGCACACAGACGCCCCATTGCCGTCCTGCTCTTCGCCCTCTACAGCGTGGCCTCTGCAGGTAGGAGCTGTTTTCCCCATCTTTTCCTCATCAACCTCCTCCTCCTCCTCCCTTTTTCTACAGTAATAAACCGAGCAGTGAATGGACATGCTGTGACACGGCACAAAGCCTCTTTATCATCTGTGCTATTTTCCTTACAGAGATGATGGATGTGATTGATAATTTATTATGAGCCGCTTAGGCGGCCCACTGCTGTCCTGTGGCTCATAAAGACGAGAGTACAGGTGCTCTTTCGGACTTTGAAATGTAAAGGGCCTTCTGTTTAATGGAATAGTTCGCTGAAACATCAAATTTTCTCACTTACCTTAAATATAGGCGATCAGCCAAGCCAAAGTTTGCTTTTTTAGTTTTGCACTGGAGCTACGAGTAGCTGAAAAGGAATGAAAGCTTATATCCAACAATAAGAATAGTGCAAACTGCATGTCTGAATCACCACACACGTACCTCAAACTGTGATCTCTAACAGACTTACGAAGTGTTTTTTAGACTGTGTGACATGCAGTTGTCTAGAAAATAGACAAAAGTACATTAGGTAGCTGAAAACAGCAATAGCAGCCACCTTCAAGTCTATTTATCAGTATACATACAAATCTAGGTATCAGTATCAGAAACCACAAAACTGAAAAAGCAAACTTCCTACACCAAATATATCTTGGCTTTGGTGCAAGAAGGAAATTGTGCAAACTTGTTTTTTTTACCAAACTGTTATTTTAAGCCTGGCAAGCATTTTTTATGAAACAGCTGCAACAGTGACCTTCTAACCTCTTTCAGAATTGTACAGTGTTAGCAACACTGGCAGAAGTCATACGCAAATGTCATACACTGTCATGAGTTAACATTACAGATGTCTAGGTGTATAACAGTATTATTTCAGCATTACTGAAAAACCTCATGACATATGTCAAAATGTTTGATATCATGATGGCTAAAATTATTATGAGCATGTAACATAAGCTGTCATGACATCAAACATTATGTCGTCCATCATGACAATTACTGATAATGCTAACAAGACACTGTTAAACACTAGATTAACTGCAGGTTAAATAAAGTGTTAACACAATGTTTTCCATTGTCTCTTTTGGTAAATTGTGTACAAGCCTAACTGGTCATGGCTGCTCACAATTTAGTAAGAGAATGTGGCATTGTTTTTTTTCGGTTTACAATTAGGATTATAATAGATGAGACGTGCTGTATGTGGTGGTGTTTTGGTGTGTGTGTCAGTGTGGAGGGGTGTGGTCCCGATAAGCTGCTCTCATTTCTGAATCTCTTGTCAGAGCGAGTTGCCTGTTTTGTCAAGCAATCACGTATCGCCCCCAGTGCTCGGAATTTCCCCGCTCCCTCCCAGCATGCTCAGGGACAGAGGCTGTGGGGTTCTGAATAAAGAAAGTGCTGACAGGCTCAATATCACACCCCAAACACAAAACTAACTCAGCCCTACATAGCCTGCCTCATCTAGCCAGAGACATTCTGAGGAGGAGAGAGTTCACTGGTTGAAATATGGATTGGATTGCTTGTTAGGCTCAACATAGCAGCTGTGTTACAGGAAGACCCACCCTTCATTAAAAAGAGCCAATCGCCTTGTTGGTAAAGATGTTGCCACGAAAAACCTTCACTGTGCATGTGGAAAAACGCTGAAAAATGCTTTTTTGTGTGTTATTTAAGCCAAAGACCACAAATCATTTATGTGATTTTTGTCAGTTTTTAACAGTGATGTCAAATACACAAACATACACACACTTTTCTAAGCCGCTTATCCTTCTGGGTTGCGGGGGGAGCTGGAGCCTATCCCAGCAGTCATTGGGTGGAAGGCAGGAAACACCCTAGACAGGTTGTCACTCCATCGCAGGGCGATGACTTCACATTTTTTTAAATGTTAGTTTGGCTATCAGTTTTGGGTTATAGGCCTTTCCCTATTCAAGCAGATAGGAGCATGGTCTTAAACCACTGGAAAAAAGTGCCTGGAAGCTTTATCCATCAGCGAGTTTTATAAGTCTGATGAAAAACAAGCTTTCGTTTATGTGAAGTTAAGTGCTATCTAGTCACCAGTAGAAAGCAGTGTCCTGATCTGCACACTGTGACAACAATGAGCCTTTCAGAACAAGATATGGTCACTGGATTGAAAAATGTTTGTTCTTAAAAAAATGTTTAAAATTTGTTCAAAGCTGCCAAGCCATTGTTTTTCCACATTGTTTCACACTGGTGAGTTTTTCTTGTAACACCATTTTGACAGCCACTCAGAGCCTGTGATTTGTCATTTTGCATCTCAGTTAATGGCCCCTTTCTGTCAAAATAGGCAGTTCTTGGCCATGTTGAGTGATAAAACCTATACCACAAGCATAGCCTTGAGAATAGGCTCTGTCTAACAGTCTCATCTGAGTGCTGTGTTGACATGATTTTTTCTCCTCTGGCACAACACACAGTCTCATGCCAACAGATGAAGAGAGGAAAAAAAACAAGAAACATAAAAAAAACAAATAAACGGACTTGAAATGATGGCGGTTGTCAAGTCCTGGCTGTTGGATTGGAGCACTGTGGTTTGAGGGAGGATTCAGACAGTTTGGGGATTTGGCTGAAAGTCACTTTTGTCCCTGCTCCCTTCTGACCACTCGAGTTTAGTGTATTATTTAGTACAGACTCCAAGTTCATGATGCTCTGCTCATCCAACCTCTGAACGCCAGTTTAAGTCAATCCAGATTCCTTTTTCTCTCATTCTTGCTCCCACTAGTCTGTTTTCTTGTGAAGGGGCACTTTAATATGTCTCAAAAAATCCTAGGTTGAAGCACACGTTGTACTTTAAAACTGTACACAACTTTCATTTTTAGAATGTGCCTGCATATATTACACAATGCACATACTTTGTTATTTGTTGATTATTTTGTGCTTTTGTTTGTGCTCTTGTTGATTATGTTGAGTATTTTCTCTGTTTCTGTATTTTAATTAGAACTTATAGGGACATCAACACCAAGAGAAATTCCTTCGTCTCGTGCTTATGTAAATATTAGATTCTGACTCTGTTCCTCTGGAATTGTTATTCAAGCTTTCATAGAAGCATCTTCACACATCTGTAGTCAGCTTGTTGGTAGAAAAGCATGCAGCTGAACAGAGGGAAATGGTTGAATAGTAACAAGGTGGTACAGCACTGGTCCTGGAGATCTGCCTTCCTGCAGAGTCTTGTTCCAACCACAATTTGCCCCACATAAAAGGTGAATTCCACCGACTTCAAAATTTCCTCATAATTTAATGGTTAAGATATAAACGATATAATTCAGAGTGGTTTGATGTGTAATGTTCCATTCTAGAGAAACAAAATGAGTCAGAATTGTTCACTGCAGTAGTGATAGGAACCAGAAGTCCAAAGAGTTTAAAATGCCTCTAAAATATGCATCACGACCTGGTTGCTATCACTGCTTACTAAATCCGAGTTGCTATGTTTTTTCACATTGACCCATCTCACATCAAATCGCTCTGAATGTTTTTGTTGACAAAAACAAGCGTTATCACTAACTGCTAACAAGACTAGCTACTCTAGCTGATGTCATCTATATCTAAAAACATAGTTTTCTGACAAACTTAACACGTTGGCACATCATCCACTGAGGTGAAAATACTTTGTGTTGACGGTGACGAGTGTTCAACAGCATCCAACGTTGTACCTTTTAGCCTGCTAGTGTTAGCTAACCTCCCTTACTCATCTGACATGAAATCCTACCAATTTCCCTTGGCTATTTTTCAATGGTAGCATTTATTTGGCAGCATGCAAACATAAACTTTGCATGCTACTAAATATTATTGTACTGAATTATTTAGCCTCATAGCACCAGTGCTATCACATAAAGAACAAAACTTACAGCTGTTTTTTTGTTTTTTTGTGTTTGGTGGTTGGTTTTTCCTTCACTCCTAAATATCTGTTTATGAACTTTTTCGGACACTTGAATATCAAAATTAGTCAGAAGTCACATCCCTAATTTGGACAAAACCTGAGTTATGCTTCAATTTCTCATTAGGTTGAATGAAATTTCTGTCAGTTGTGCAAAGCTTGTCTTGTCTAGCAACAGTTGTCACAACAGAACACCTTTGTGGGCAGAGCTTGGATGGCTCAGTTCTGCTATGAATGGCAAAAGATGCGGTGAACTGGGAGAGAATAAGAAAGATGATTTTATTCGTGCATAGTCCTTGCAGGTTGAAATGGAGTGCTGTTGATAAGGTCGTGAGTCATGCTGAAATTATTTCAAGAATGTTTACTGCAATATAGGTCAATGGTAATGCCAGAACATTAATAGCTAGTAAACACCATTCTTGGTCGAGCTGACCTGAATCTCTGAGGGTCCATTTCTGTTAGTGATGGTCAGCCAGGAGGACAATGGCCCATAGTCTGAAGGCCACTTGAGTTTAGCAAAGCTGTGTGTCTCCTGCCGTGACCTGCTCTTTAAGACAATGAGCTCACATAGGAGCCTCTCCACCTACCTCTTCCTCTGAAGCATTCATGCCAGCATTGTTGCATTCCCCCATACTTTCCAAGCTACAGGAAATCCACTCATTTACGCCAGATCATCATTGCTGCTACTGCATCGCGATAAGCAAGTATTTGCTCGTCTAAACTGCAAGTTTGTATTGTAAACACCTTAAGTGTTTTTTGACTGAGCATGGTGGTTTTAACCCTTATAAGTCAAAAGTTATTACTTTTTTTGCCATACCATTTAATATAATTACATAATTGCATATTATGTTTATTATGTGTGCATATTCCATGTTTATGGTTATGATTGTTGTAAATCCAAAAAGAAAAATCTGAGTTTTTTCAGATCTTGATATTTCGCCATCATTTGAACCCAGCAGCTTTGATTTATATTTGTGAAAATTTCAGAAAGAATGGACCAATAGAAATGCTCCAAAATGGCTTGAAATAAAATCTCTTTGAATTAAGTTGCATTAATAGTTAAGAATGTTTTTGCCCTCCCCTGTAAAGGTACGATTTTGGAGACTTGTTTTTTTGGATA